ATGGAAAATAAGAAAAAATGAAATAAGATGGAGAAAAAATTGGCTTTGTGTGTGTGTGTGCGCGCGCGTGTGTGTGTGTGTGTGTGTGTGTGTGTGTGTGTGTGTGTGCTAGAGGGTGTGAACGCAAAACATGCACAGTATACGAGTCCGACTACAGAAGAAAAAAAAACTTAGTGTGAACCCTGTGAGCGGACGCGGGCCAATGGGTGTAATCTGGGCCTCTGGGGAACATGTTTTAATGTCTTCTTCAGCAGTGTGGGTGAGCAACTCCCCGATGGGACGATAACGTGTTGAGTGTAGCGGCACTTGGCTGATGCTTATCACCCCTCGTAAGTGCCCACCACCCCTGCCCCCACCCTACCCTCCTCCCCCACCCTACCCTCCTCTCCCACCCTACCCATCTCTCCCCTACCCATCTCTCCCACCCTACCCATCTCTCCCACCCTACCCTCCTCCCCACCCTACCCTCCCCCCCCTACCCATCTCTCCCCCTACCTCCTCCCCCACCCCCACCTCCTCCCTACCCTTCCTCCCCCATCTTTCGCTCCACCCAACTCCACTACCCTCTCTCCTCTTCTCTCCCATCTTCTCCTCCTTCTCTCTCCATCCCTCCCTATCTCCTCTCTCTTTCTCATTCCCCTTCCCACCTTCCTTTTTCTTTCCCCTTATTCTCCCCCCCCATTCCCTCCTACATTCCTCTCTCCTTCCCTCCTTACCTCCCTCATGCTTTCCCTCCTCCCCCTTCTCTCCTTCCCTCTCCATCTTCTCCCCACCTCCTTCTCTCATTCCCATCCCATCCCCACCCCTTTCTCTCCATCTCTTCCCATTCCCTTCCCAACCCTAGTCCCTCCACCCAAACCCGCCCATCGCCTATCCAACCCCCCCCCCCACCCCATTCCCACCCTAAGCCTCCCCCACCCTCTCGTGTGTAGACCAGCTTTGCAAATTAGCACTATGGACGGTGGAGGTATGGGGGTGGGGGGGTTGTTGTAGGTGGAGGGAGGGAGATGACGTTGTAGTAAGGGGGCGGGTGGAGGTGGGGGCAGTGGGAGTTCGCAGTACCTGTGTGGTAAGTAATGGTAGGTGTGGGGAGACAGGTGATAATGTAGGGTTAAATTTACGCTCTTACTGTCGTGTGGATGTGCCGATAGTAGTGGTGGTGGTGGTGGTGGTGGTGGTGGTAGTAATAGTAAAAATTATGGTAGTAGTAAAAATGCTAATGGTACAGTAGGTGTAGTTGTGATAGCAAAGAGCTTCTAGGATAAAATTATTTCACTGGACCATCTCCCCGCCAACCACTGACGGTATGCGAGGCCCCAGATGTAACATGCTTTGCCACTGGCAGTTTTGTGTGGTTATAAATTGTCGAAGCTCCCTTAAGAAATGTCCTGGTATGTCGTTTTTTCGCTTCCCCAAAGATTGAAGAAAGAAAGGTAAGATAACATGAGTTGCTGTACTTTTGGTTTGCGGTCACTGAAAGACAAGATTTATGGGTAGTAATTTGGGAGTCCAGTTGCTACTGTGATGACTATCGCGGCAAATATAACCGTTCTGAAGGCTAACGTTTGGTGCTTAGTAAATAATATTAATCCCAGTACATCCACCCTTCAATAGTAGGTCATTACGATAGTTTGTAACAACATATAGACCGGTGGAGGCCAGGTGCACCTTCAGTTACTTTGGTGGACGAGGTTTCAACCATATGATTCTGCACATATTTGTTTGCTGTGGGCTGGGGTGAGATACTCTGGTAATCTATTGGCTACTGGTGTTAGTATAGTAGTCTCGTAGTTGGTGGACCAGGTCAGGGTACGGAATTGTTACCCCTCATCGCTGAACATGTCGGCAGTGACTCGATGCTAGTAACTGAAGCTCGAGTGTCACGGTAATGAGTCTGTTGTTACCAGTCATCTACAGCACAGGCCGAGATGATGTGTATCGATAGTACTGAGAAACCATAAAATATTTACATTCGGTTATACGTAACGAGTCAAGTTACTGAAGCGTCTGTTGTGCGGGAGGTTGAAAATGGTTTTATAACGATAGTAGTAGGAGTAGTGACATTGGTAGTAGGGTACGGTAACTACTTTTGTAAATGGTGGTGAAGGTGTGGCTATAAGAGGAGGTTAGAGGCCATGTTTAAAAAATAAGTACTGTAGTAGTAATAAAAGTAGTCGTAGTTGTTGTGGTGATAGTATTACTACTGTAGCAGTAACTGTATATCAAGTGACTCGCTAATCGTTGATGGGAGATTTAGTTAAAAGATTCCTACTTGAATCCTTTTCTTTTAACTGGGAATAGAAGAAACTTATCATAATTAACTCTAGTCTCAGCGTAGTTTTGTCGCCATCTTTCTTCTTTATCGTAAGTTCTCACATTAACTTGCGACCGTCTGGGGGAGGGGAGTGGTTGACCTCAGTGTGTCGGGTTTCCCACGCCTTTCACTCCCTGCGTCTTATCTCTACCAGTTCAACCACACTCACCATTATCCACCTATACCACTACCCGCCCTCTCTGTGTGTGTGTTCGTTCATATGTACAGTCAAATGCTTCTGTATACATGTTTACGTCCGTATGATTATGCGTTTGTATTTATAATATTGTGCATATGTATTGTCCGTATGTATATCTATATTCCTGTGTATACATGGTTATTTAAGTGTGTGTCTGTTTACACATATTTAGATAACTCGCCGTTGTGTGTGTATATGCAGGATGTATATATTTGTATCCGTACATATGGTTGTATGTCTGTATATACATGATAGTGGTAGTCCATAACCTCTATAAATATACCAGTTTATATACCCGACTATGTGTCTATATACATAATATATATAAGTATAAGTCTGTGTATGTCTATGTGCACCTGTACCGGTTAATATAATCAAGAGCGAGATCTAAAACACCCTCACCAAAAAACAATACAATCAGCCAAGTCAACAGTGGTAGAAGTTACCCCTGACGCACCATGATCCCATAAAAAAAAACTTTCTTAAATCCTAAATATATTCGCGCAGTACAGCAATAAACGCGCTTTTATACCTCACAGCTGGAGAGAGAGAGAGAGAGATTGATTTAATGCCTTCCCTGAAAAACCACTTGATGGGCAAAAATCGACCGAAATTGCTCCTAAAGTTGTCAAGGAGATTTTGATGAAGTCATTATACTGTGGCGGGGTGTGGACGTGACGAGGCTGCAGGGAGGGAGACCAAGATTGAATTATTTCTTGTTATTCTTGGTTGAGGTAAGAGAGTGTATTTGGTCCCTTCAACGGAGACCATTATTCCTTATTGTGTTGTTAACTTGTGTCTGTCTATCTCAAGGAGCCCAGGATGAAGCTATTGTATTGAGGTGGACTGGTGAGGATGTGTGGACGTGACTGGACGGAGAGAGAGAAGAGGAGGGGGGAGAGGGAAGAGGAGGGTACAGAGGAGAGAAGAGGAGAGGGAAGAGGAGGGAGAGAGAGAGAGAGTATCCTGTAGTGAGAGAAGAGGAGAGGGAAGAGGAGAGAGAGAGAGAAGAGTATCCTGTGTAGTAGAGAAGAGGAGGGAGAGAGAGAGAAGAGTATCCTGTAGTGGGAAAGAGAGAAGAGGGAGGCAAAAATTGAATTGTCTTTCTATTAACATTTTTTTTTTCAGTTGTGGTGAGACTTTTTTTCACAATGAACTCTTCACTATAATTGACTGTTGTCTTGTTAATTTGATCTCTTGGTGTGTCTGTGTGTCTGTTACTTTAGGTTAGGTTAGGTTAGTCTTAGTATGTGTTGTACCTTATGGGTTAGGCGCTCTGTCTGTATGTTATCTTTGTCTATAGTTAAGTGTGTTTTTTGTGTCTGTGTGTAATCTTTTTGCTTTCGTTCAGTCTGTGTTGATCTGTCGGGTATAGTTTGCACTGAGTTTCGTTCAACAGAGTCGTCCAACATCGGGGGGTGAGAATGTTCCTCACGGTAGTACACGGACTGGGTTCTCCTTTTGAGGATTCCAGCCTTTATTTTCCTGGCTCATGTTCCATAAAGAGGTGTCTGTGTGTAGGTACCTTCTTCACACACACACACACACACACACACACACACACACACTCAGCCAGTCGGTCTCCAAAATCATTATAGTGTTAACTTTCAACTCCTGACGTGTCCCCGTGAATTTACAAGGAAAAATATATATGATTGGGGCACATTTATTTTAATGCCTCTCTCTCTCTCTCTCTCTCTCTCTCTCTCTCTCTCTCTCTCCTACCGTTATCATCTCATTGATCTGATTTCACTATAAGCTTCACTCTCTCCCTGCCATCCTCAACCCTTCACTCACAGAACCAGTTAGTAATCGTGCCCCTCGGCCCTACATGATAAACCTGTGCTCAAGGCACTCAGAGAGAGAGAGAGAGAGAGAGAGAGAGAGTTCAACCTCTGTGGTAGTTATGAGCGGCCCTATGTAAAACTCGCAAATTAAAATATTTCAAAACATTATCTGTATTTAGGGGAGGTGGGTATGTGAATACCTTTGTCTTCCTAGGCCAGGCACCGGTCTCCAGGTATGTCAATAAGTTTAGTCAAAACCCATTTAAATGAGTCATCACAAAAATCTAGTTTGTTACTTAAAATGGCTTCGGTATCTCCTTAAGGGGTTCATAACTCTGGGTTCGGGGGTTCGGTTGTGGGTTTCAGACGTGACCGGTGTAAGCCTCTCCCAGGCCTCCCGTCTTAAGCACCAAGCCCTTGATTCTTTGTAATGAAGACGGATCTAGTTTGTTGTGAGGCGAGGCGGTGTTGTTATAACTTATATTTGTCTTCCCTTTTTTCTTCTGTGATGCTGCACCTTTATTTTCTTCACTTTTTCTTCTTGTTACCTTTGTTACTTTTTTATAACTGCCCTTCTGTTTATTCTTTCCATTGTTGATTCTTCTTCTTCCACAAGAGAACTAGTTTGTTGTGATTTACGATTATTTTTGTATTGTTCGTAGTGGTAGTTACTAACCCGCTTTGTTTTCTTTATCTTCAGGAAGTGGAGAGAGCGAAGTGTGAACCTCAGGATCAGACGTCGAGAGTACTCAGGGCTCACACATCACAACAACCACGTCACAGAAGACTTTGGAAGTCAACAAGATCGCTACAGAAAATCTAGGCGGCAACAGGAATATTACATAAAACGTTAAAACATTATAAATAACGTCACTATAAAGGAAACGTCAGAAAGAACAGACAAGAAAAGTGAAAACAGAAAAGAACATAACAGAAACATAAACGTTAAGAGACAAAAATGACGACAGAAATAATAAGCACAAAACGTAAACACTGATAACAGCATCACTAATCGTAGACGTTTAAGGTGTCAAAATAATGATGATCTGGATTCGTGAACATGGCTTCTTCATGGATCAACTGGACAGAGAGATGTAGTCGTGTGTTCCCTGGGTTTCTCGTATCTGTACAGCCAGAAAAATTACCACAAAGGTTCTGATTTATCTAGATCTTCTCAGAGATATACGGGAACTTGGAAGACTGTTTACCGTGTATTATTTTGTGAAATAGTTGAAAAGACGGGGTCATTAGCCTTCAGAACAGAAATCGGTGGAGACATTACGTGTTTTCCTCTACAATATACAGAGTCGTGTTAGTTTGACTTCTTGGAGGAATCAAATGTTAACTCGCCTCACAGTTCTTCCTGAAAGTGACGCTATATTGATCAGTTTGGTGCTGCGGGATGAATACTGATTTAGACACAAACTCTGAAGCAGAATGTTGAGATGTGATTATCAGGGAATTTTATAAACGGAAGTATTTGTGTTGGAATGCTGTTCAAGGACCTAATGCAGACTATTAAAACAAGTGAAAGTCTCTCGTACAGTGAAAGTGCTGACAGTCTCCTAATAAATTGGAAACTGACGCTGATAGTCAAGAAAGGAAAGATGACTTGGTGTTTAGCAGTTCTCCAACAAGAAATATTTGACGACGACGACCAGAGAGGAAAAACTCTTAGGTAGCTGTAAATTTTATATAGTTTTAATTGTACTTAAAACAACATGGACACTTACCGGGAGTTGACCTTGAGTGTGTGTTAAGGTTAGTTTACAATACCAAGGAAAGATAATGAGTTAGATGATGAGAGGTTTATGATATGTTTAAAAACTTAACTAAATTGAATGGATATATAGAACTTACAAAGAAACGTCTGCCTGCCTGTCTGTCTGTCTCTGTCTGTCTGTCTGTCTGTCTGATGGTGAAGCTTGATACAGCAGATTAGTGTTTAGTCATGTCTTAAAGGAAAAAAATATATATAAAAAAACCTGTCTATTTATATCTGATAAGCTGAAGCCGTTACCCACTTTTGAGTCCATTATGTGAAGAAACGTAATGTACAGGTGGAAAGTGGGCAGTTCTACCAGGTGAGGAGAGGACATCAGTACAAATTGAAGATTGGAATGTACAAATTGGCACAGTACAGTACATCTAAAACTGGAATACTTTAAATCCAACACTAAACTAACCTCTTGAGTAATAGTCTTTACAGATGTGGGTGTTGTCTCCCAAACTTGTAGACCAAAATAAAAAAAATAAAAGAATTACTTGAACTGTGTGAATCAGACATGTGAACAAAACTACTACATATTTCTTTAAAGTCTGAAGTGTATTACAGAGATGTACAGGAAGGCACAGGACTCTACAGCAGCTAGAAGATGTAGACGGAGATGTAGATCAATTAGATGTTCAGTGAATTGTTGAGGGCGTCAAAAGTCTCTCTACCAGTACTTCGTATAAGTAAGTCGGTTAATTCTTCTCACTTTGTTTGCGCCCATTGTCACGTTGCACAAGTATACTATCTGTAAATATTTTTTTTTAAGTTAAGATTTACGTGGTTAGGATTCCAAGTAGTAGGGAACGTTGTTATACCTCATTCCAATTGTGTGTTTGTGTCCAATTGTGTGTCTGTGTCCAATTGTGTGTGTGTGTCCAATTGTGTGTCTGTGTCCAATTGTGTGTCTGTGTCCAATTGTGTGTTTGTGTCCCATTCAGTGTGTTTGTGTGTCCCATTTAGTGTGTGTCCCATTTAGTGTGTGTCCCATTTAGTGTGTGTCCCATTCAGTGTGTTTGTGTCCCATATTCAGTGTGTCTGTGTCCTGCTCAGGCTTATACCAGTGTGTCCTGTTCCTGGTTGACTGTGCGGTCTGTAGTGGAGGAAGTTAGACTATACAGTATCCATTTTTAGCCATTTTACTTATATAATCTCTCCACCTTCTCTAGTCTTCTTTTTTCTTCATCATTATTACCTTTTTAACCCTTGAGTACAATGGCTTACCTTCCTGAGTACAATGATTTACCCCCTTGAGTACAGTGTCATCATACTCAAAAGAATTGGGATCATTGTACTCAAAACTTTAAGTCATCGTAATCAAGGGGTTAATCACTTTACTTCTGTCTTCATTACCTTCCTCTCACACCCTCTCTCTCCCTTCCTTATTCTAACATTTATCATCATCAATCTCTTCCCTGTCATTATTATCCCTTACCCTTCTCCTAATCTAACATTCGGCCCTATTATCCTCCAACCTCTTCACTCCTTCCTCATTCTTACTCTTAATGTGTTCTGTACCCTTAACTCCCCTTCTCTCGAATGTGTTACGTCTCCACTTTCACCTCTCGCCCCTCTCGCCCCCTCTCGCCCCACCCCCCCTCCCCCCCCCCCTCTCTTGCCCCCACCCCCCCCACCCTTATGCCACTGAGACCTAACCCAAGTTCTCCCTTTTCAACCCCTACTTCGCCCCTCTCCTCACCCACCTACGAACGTCAACAAAGGCTGATTTATCTCGTTCTTGTAGCCTGCGTGATGATTAGGAGAGAGAGAGAGAGAGAGAGAGAGAGAGAGAGAGAGAAAGAGAGAGACTGATATGTTAGTAGAGGGTTATTGTGTGTACTGTTTCCCGTCTTTATTCTGTGTTTCTGTTTTTGTTTTTCTTTATCTTCTTCATTTCTTAGATGTCTCCTAATCCGCCCCTCTGACATACTTGCGGTTTTCACTTTTTTTTCTTCACTTTTACCCTCATCTCCAGCTAACCAATGAGGCGCTGTCTTTTAATGCCTACTTTCTACCAGTCGGCTAACGTTCCCCACTTGTTTTTCTTATCAGCTAAAAGCCTTGGAATATTTCTCTGTGTCTTCTATCTGATAAAAATTTACTGAAAGTTTTACACCTTTTAAAGATTAAGAGAATGTCCTCTTTCAGCCAAAGCTATAGTGATGTATGGAATCTCAGCTAAACGTCTTCATTCAGCAGGATATGTTATTTTAAATCTGAATTGTCTGTTCTTGTTATTAACTGTTTTTACTACAGCTGAAAGAGACACCTAAAGCTACAAGGGGTATCCGAGTCTTCCCTTAAGCTAAAATATCAATATTCTTCCTGAATATAACATTGATGCACGTTATTTCATTAATTACCAGACAGCTAACTTTAAGAATAAAGTCTTCAATTCCCCCCAAACAAAATTATCCCACTTTACAGAATAAACTCTAGTGTTTTGTAATGTTATTTAGGTGTGTATATGTACATATTGGAATAAACTACAAGAATGTGTTGTGTTTTCATTTTCTAAACGTGATGTATCAGCTAAACTTCAACTAATTTTTGGTGTCCTCAGCAACTATTACAATATGTGAAGTTGGCTGCTGGTTGTTAAGTGAGTTGGGCTTCCACAGCTAAACATACAACACCTTTTTTTTTATTTCATTCTTTACTATAACCAAAATTTTCTTCAGTTAAAATTATTTGATTATATTTAACATTAAGAAAATATAAATGGTAGTTAAATATCCTATAGTGTTACGACTGTCTTGTTAACCAATACACTTCTATACATTTAAAGTTGATGGGAGTTAACAGGAAGTCTACTACTGGAGGAAACTAACATACAATATCTTCTTATGTAACAGGAAATGCATGAGCGGCCCAAACCACCTGTCTAACCAGCAATCACGTGATTCCTGAGCAGTTAATTAGTGACGTTGCATTAGGATAGTCTACAATCAATGAGTTGAAGGATGATCAGCTTAGGTGAAATTCTCTCGTGGTAAGCAACAGTGTACAGTACATTCACACAGCACTATAAAAGGCACTGCACTGTATCTGTAAATAACGGTGGTTGTAAATCACTTAAGGTCGGGAAGCACTGAGGTCATAAATCACTGCACAGTAGTTATAATTCACTGCACAAGTCATAAATCACTGCACATTCACTAAATCACTGTTCAATGTCATTAAGTTATGACTTCAGTGTTTTTTCTGCCGATATGAACAAATAACCAGAATATGACAGACAAGTCGGATGTACAAGATATGTAAAATTAATCATTCTTCGTAAGTGACCCTGTAAAAGAAGTAATGCACTGAGACTCTTCACTATATACAGTACGGACACTTAGATGTGGCCATTTTGGAACTGTTTAACATCTTACTACAGAATATTTTGTAGTGGATTTTTTATATTTGTTTATTTTATTTATTTATTTATGTTTTTTTACACCAAACTGGAGCAAAATGAACGTATCTAGCTAAGGACTAAAGTCAATGTGTTCTGTTGTAACTGTTGGTAAGTGAGCGTAACTAGTTAATGTGATCTCGGTAAAAGAAAATGGTTAGTTTTTGACATTTTTTTATGATTATAACCTTAAAGTCAACGAGTTAGGTTCATTATTGTACTGTATGTGCTGTATACAGTAGTCACCATGCGACCCTCTGTGACTGCCCGCCTCTTCCTGTAGTCTTCCATAATGACTAAATCTCCGTTAATGTTTCAAATAAGATGAAAAAGAATCGTCTATCGCTGACTGTTTCACATAATATGAACTAACTTAATAATAATATTCCATGACAAATATTTCGTTTTCATTTCTGTAACCAAACAGACCAGATAAATGAAGTCGATAATAACTTGTAATATATATTTTTTGTATTTTGTAAGTAGCAAAATTAATAATGAGTTTCAATATATATATTTTTTTGTATTTCTTCTTTTTAAAGCAGCAGCAACAAGTTTTAAGTTTACATGTACAAGAAATTAATAGGTAAGTTGGATTTATGCGTCATATTCGATTGTGTAGCAGCGTTCGAGTATAATAGTGTGGGGGCAACTAGTTCCAATTATATTTCTCACCCCTGAGGAGCTGAATCTGGTCTTATGTTGGACAATAATCAGTTCTTAGTATGCTGTTTAAAACTCTCCTGACGTGACCTAATAAAGCTGGAGGTGTTCAATTCCCCTAAAAAAATCCACCCTTTGAATCCTGTTCTTTGTAAGTTATTATTCAAAGTAACTAGATTTTAAACACTATAATAAATAGACCAAAATATTTAAAGAATCGAAGTTGTTCTACTGGTCTCATTTATTCAACTCGACGCTTCAAGACTGTCATTTTAGATGGGCGGTTCCCTGTTGCTGGCTGTTGTCATTTAAATTTACAAGACATAAAAATAAATCTTAAAAGTTTTTATTTAATATAATAGAGGGATTTAACTCCTCCCTAATAATAGACGATCAACAGCAATAATGATCACTTTACGAGCATTACATGTTTGCCACTGAGGAGGTGAAAGTTGCTTACCTCATACACTAATGTTGGCGACGGTGGGGGCGCTCCAATCTAGGTGGGGGTGGGAGTTGCCTCTGACTTAACCCTCCATCATCATTATTATTAACCCTAACTGTGCATGTAAAGACTGGGAGATGCTCGTGATAGTCCCAACCAACAAATGACTCCGCCTCACCCTGCCCTATGATCCAGCAGATAGTGGTGTTTGTTGACGAGAATTAATCTGAATTAGAGGGAGGGTTGGAGGTGCCTACACGTCCACGTTGGAAAGGTTGTGTTGGGGAGATGTGTGCAGGGAAGGTGTTGTAGTGTAGGAGGTGTAAGCTTGTCTACAGTGAGGTCGGCAAGGGAGTAAAGAGTGATGGAGAGACGTATAAATTAGGTGAATAATTAATATGGTATTGAGTCAGGTGTTTGCAGGTGAAAAACGCTGTTTTAGTGGACATGATTTGGAAAATAAGTTTTAATTAATAGCAAATGAGTTTGGAGGAGTGTGTACCAGGAGAAAGTTAATTGTAAGTCTGCCTAAAGGTAAGATTATGAAAATAAACAAAGAAATAGGAAGATGTAGTATTGGCATGAATAGGCACAGAATGATGTGGAGTTTCAGGTGTCTGAGAGTGGCTGTTTCGGTAAGAACAACGATGAATGATGAGTTGACTCTAGTAGCGACAGTAAAGAATATTCAGCAACGTACTGTAGAGGAATGTGTGGAGAGAGAGAGAGAGAGAGAGAGAGAGAGAGAACTGTGTCAAAGGAAGCAACGTTATTATGTGTGTGTGAAGCAGGGACTCTGAAAGCAGAAAACAGAAATGATATATAATTAAGAGCAGTTTTTACGGTTAACAGGATGTAAAAGTAACAAATACAGAAATAAGAGGAGACAGGGAAGTGTTGGGCAGAGAAGGGATCAGGGTCTGCTCTAGTATTGAAAGAATAATATGAAAAGTGAGGCGGGTGATAGGGGGGAGACGAGGAGAGCAAGAAGGACGGATCGGGAAAAATATGCACTTGAAGTAAGAGGCATGGGCATCAAGGGAGCAGTTGTACGCGTGAATATGTGAAGAGCATGACGTTATTTTGGGTGAGCTGAACAGGCAGGCAGGCGAAACTATATACTATATATAATATAATCCACTCGGGTATAGTATCAGAATATGAATGACTTAAATTTAGTGTGTGATGAGAGGGGTAGCAGGTGGCCTTGGTGGCTCAGGTAAACAAACACTCCACGGCTGGAGCCTCTCAAAATACCCCGACACTCCTTCGCTGTAGAGTTATCTCGGCTCTGTTGTTTGACACGTTGTTGTAGAGCTCTCACGGGGCTCTGTGTTTGACATGGTGTATACTGCGAGGTTTTTGATGTACTGTGAACGAGTAGGAGTGTTAT